TCTATCTATCTATCTATCTATCTATCTATCTATCTATCTATCTATCTATCTATCTATCTCTCTTTTTTTCTTTTCTTCATAACTTAAAATTTAAATGAAAATTTAATTTAAATTTAAACATTCCAAAATGTAAAAAATTCATTTTAGTATTAAATAAAATTTAATTATATTTATTGAAATAATTATTTCTTAATTAATTAATGAATTAATATAAATAAGAACAATTTGAAGGAAAAAAAAAGAAATGATATAAACTCTACGAAATATAACAAATACAATTTAATAACATAATTACATTTAAAATAAATGTGTAATCATTTAAAAATCAATTACATTTACTTTTCTTTCAAAGAATCAATTCTTTCAAAGTTCATGTGCTATATTTATTTTTAAAATGGAGTACAAATAGAAACAATTGGTAGAAAAATGTTGCTATTGAAATGAATTCAATTAAATAAAACATATGGATGAAAATCGAACGCTTTAGAATTCCACTTAGATTGATACGATACACTTACCTCCGGGTAATCTATTCGGATCAGAACCGGGTGCACCTCCTCGAAATGGGTGTCCATGTTGTTGCTTAAGTAAATTCTGCTCACGTTTCTGTTGTCTTTTATATAAATACACTCGGTACCTCTTCATTAACCTTCTCTTCCCCCTTCGCCACAGGTGTGCGATATATCTGAGAACATGCAGTATGAATGTAGCAGCATGAATGGAACAGGCAAAGGACAATTTCAAGTAGATGATTTTTCGTTCTTGAAGTGAAGAGGACCAATAAAGCAACATTTAAGTTCATTTATTATGTATTTTCGTGTAGTGCTAGATATAAGCGAGCAAAAAGTATCAAAAATAAAACAGTTTCATTGAAATGAAATAATATTTCATATTTATATATTTGAAGATTTATTTCGACTTTGAGAAAAAAATTGTTAAATAATTAATTGAAATAATTTGTTTAGAGATAATTATTTAGATATATTAAAGATAATTATTTAATATAGCATTTTATGTGTATTATATTAATTATTTATATTAATTATTGTTAATATTATTTTTTGCGATTATTATTTAACAAAAAAATAAATAAAAAAGTAATATGAAAACAAAAACATATTTATTCAAAAAATACAAATGTCTTCATGAAAATTCAATATTAATTACTTAATAATTTCATAAAAATAATACTTCATTGTATATATAATGAAAAAAATATTCTTTTTTTCATTATTTTAAATATATATTTAAAAATATATAAAAAAAATATATAAATATTATATATTTTTATATATATAAATATAAAAATATATAAAAAAATATATATATATCCCTATTTTTTTCTGTAAAAAATTATTAGAATATTCTGTATACGCAAAAATAATTATAATAAATAAATAAAAAATACTAATATAAAGTACTTTATTAAAAAATTGCAATATAACAAATTAGACAATGCAGATACAATAATGGTTAATATCTTGATAAATATGATTTTCTGCCTCCAAGATCATAAAATATTGAATTTTTATTTGTAAGGAATTTTAAATAAGAAAGTTTTTTTTATATTTCAAATAATATTTTAATTAATATAGAAAAAAATTATTATTTCAATCGTAAATCTAATACAATTAAAAAAATATATTTATATAAATATTCTATATTAAATATTCTATATTCTTATTTTGATTTCTCTTGTATGAATATATTATTATGTATAAAAATAATGCTTATCGTCTAATAATAAATTTTTAAAAAAATCTTCGTTTCTTCGTTTTAGAAAAATTTAACAGTTTTTTTAATTTTTTTATGCAATAAAATGTAATAGAATAAAAATAAAAAATGAAATATAATAATAGATTAATTAATTTATATTCTTATATCCAAAATCTTTCATTCTTAAAGTAGATTAATTTTATTTAATTAATTTGTACATGCTTTAAAAATGTTAAAAATTTTTAATCATTTCTTCTGAATAAATGAAATAAAATCGTTGTATGTAATATTTTTATTTTTATACTTGAATTTTTATTTGAAAAAAAATTAAAATAGTAAGAATTAAGAAATGAACAGTACAACAATTAATGAACTATTTCAAATGAGAACCTTTTATTCTTTAAGTGAAAGATCAATGAAACAGCATTTAATATTATTTAATATATTCTTTAATAGCATTGTCAGAGAATAACTCTTTTAATCATTTCTTTCACAACAATTTAATGGAATGGAATGTAATAGTTCTTTTCAATATAAAATAGAAAAATAACATAATATAAAAAAAGGAATAGTGAAAGAATGAAATTATTTAAACTAGAACAATTAAAAAATCAATAGAATATTATTTATTTTTATAGATAGAATATTTTTGATAGGATTAAAAAATTTTTAAATATTTAAAAAAAAATTTATAGAATTGCTTTATTTTATAAAACATAAAAAAATAATATATTAATTGCATTATTTTTATTTAAAAAAATAATGAAATAAAAATATAATAAAAACATAAAAAAAAAGAGAGAGAAAGAAAGAGAAAGAAATAATAATATTATTATATTATTTTTATTATATTATATTATTATTATTAATATTATATATATTATTATATATATTAATATTATATTATAATATTTATATAATAACTCTTTTATAATAACTAACAATGAAATTAATATCAAGTTTAATATCAATTATGGTAATAATTTATAATATAAATGATGACTTTCTTCTGAAAAATGTATGTTAATAAGTTGAAAACTAATACTATGTTTTACTTTAATGTGAAATTATATGCAAAATACGTTAAAAACATGCAAAGAATGAGCAACATAAGGTATGACTTAAAAATTATTAGAAAAAGCGAGACAAATTTCACTTGATATTTTAAAATTTTTTACTGTTTTTTCTGTATACGTTTATGTTACAGCAATCAGAGAAATAAAAATATCATGTATATTCTTTTTATTTTTAAAAAGTATTTTTTCAAATACAGCAGTATATTTTTTATATGTTTGAATAGTTTCCAAACCAATTTTTTTTATGTATTATATTTATTTAAAAATAATAAAGAATAATTAAGATGAATTAAGAAAATTAAGAAAAAAAAGAATTTAGAATAAAAATAATGATTCTTAATATTCTTAGTATTTATATATAAATAATACATTAATTAATAATAAGATATAATAATTAATAATAAGACTTTATTGTAAGAGAAAAAAGAAAATATTTCATTTCAAATTCAAATATCATTTTTTTCATATGTAACAAATAATATTTTTTTTTATACTTTATACAAAATAAAAATTGATCTTTTTAAATAAAACGAATTTTATTTTTACATTAATTGTAAAGAGAATATAAAAATTGTTACTAGTATAGTTATAAATATAAACATTAATAAGCATTACATTGGGATTTAAGCGAAAAAAAACATATATTTAAAAATCTTCTATTTCATGTAAGAGTACTTATATGTTATATATAGTTATATTAGTTATATTCTTTGAATTCGGTATCTAACAATAAAGTAAAAATTTTATCTTTTTAATAATCGTAGAAAAGAA